AATACAGACTATGTTGAAAAATGCTGCTGCATTCCCTTACAAACAGACACAGAGGCCATGATGATTGGAAATCTTCCATGTGTCAATAATGTATGGCTGTTAACTTGACCCCTTTGTATTAGTTTGACCACTGAATTCTTTCCTATAAAACATTGTGTAAAGGCAGCCTACTCATGAACCCTGTTGAAATAGCCCACAGGAAATGCTTACTTAAGCACTCAAACAATACAATGGCGTATATTTCCAGCACATATCAACCTTTGGACAGCCAGCAACCTCTGGAACCTGTTATTTGGGTGGTGGCTGAATGAAGGGCTTTGGTATGAACTTCACAACACTTCATCACAGAGATGCTCTACCTATTGTTGTGACTGCTGTCAGCATGTAATTAAGCTCAAATGGGTATGATTAGATATTACATAACACTATAGTGTGTCTAACTGAATATGACGATGACCCATTGTTTACATCGGCCAGTTAAATCTCATCTCTTTGCATAGTGTTTCCAATAATATTGTGACATTATGACCCTCACAAGGAGATGATATGACTGGTGGAAACCATTTCTACATAGCCATTTAGCTACACAAAGCTTGGTAATAAAGGTGACATGAAAAGAGCCTTGTTACATGTTTGGTTGGATGAATAAGCATTTGTGTTTATCTGGCAAGTCAGTAATATCTGGAAATGTCTTCTAGTGTCTCCAAAGAAAACCACTTACCAGCACTGTTATCAAACAACTGGTTTAAGCAAGAATTGCCAAAAAGTCTATGATTAAAAAGGACAAATGGACTCACAATGCAGCCTTCATAAACAATCTAGTGCTCTAACTCTGTTTGTCTCCAATCACCAGAGGTCTCATTGCTGGGACCTGCTGACCAGACACACGCTTGACCAGGCAAACGCTTCCAGCTGTTGCAAGCAGCCACTTATTGCACCTCATTGATTTTTTCTCTGTGCTCATGTATAGAGTGCTGAAGTCAGTTTGATCACCACTCCAATCAATCTAAATAGAACTACACTATTAGAAATAAGCATCATTTAATTGCTTGTACTTATAGAAAGAATGTCTTAAATTAGTGGAGAACCTTTACATCGCACTCTACACTGTACAGAGCTAATGTAAAGTTACAGACACTGCAGTATGGCTTTTAATTTGTGCAGGCTTGTCTTTTAATGTTGTAGTGAGGGGGTGGAATTTTCCCCCTCCCAGAATTTCTTGCAATTTTTTGAAGTTTGGTTTAATAATTTTTATTATCAGGAGCTACTCCCATCTTTAACGCCTTAAATACTGGGATATATGCATGCAACAGTTATAATATACAATGTATATTAGAAGGTACTTGTTTTGCTAAACAATTTAACAATGTAATTAATAGCATGATCATACTGTTAGCACAAAAAACTGTAAATAGCTGAAATTCAACCATGTGTTTTTTTATAACTTTTGTTATCAGTAACATTGTTACAAGTTGCATGACTGTAAATAGATATCTACAGTAGGCTCCTGTATTATCTAATCACAGTACTATTCTGTAGTTACAGTGGTGAATTAACAGCAAATTTATTGGAATTTACAGAATTTGCATGTATTTTACTACAGCATTGAGAAACATTCATTCAGAATACAGTATAGACACAGAATAAATGTCAAGGTTCTTCACACTCACACATATCATTGACAAATATGGTTCTTATACAGGGTTATTTACCATTGAGAGGTTCTATAGGGAACCAAAAGTTCCATGTTATCATTTCAAGACTTTTTAGGCACCTTTAGACCCAACTTCATAAGGATGATTATGCAAAAGCTCGACCTCTAATTAAAAAAACTAACATAGAAGTGCAAAGCTGGACGACATCCTGTGTAACAATGTTGGGCAGCATGATGTCTTTTCTTCTTATGCAATTGAGAGACTGAAAATTTACTCGGTTCAGCGTTTTTGCACTCCATTGTGCATCAGACAGCAGCAAAAAAAGTCTGTGCTCTCCTCTCCTTTGTTTTTTTTTTCCCTTGAGTGACCAAGCCCAGTGCAAAGACACTGGAGATACTGGTCTATGTTTAGCATCAATCACAACAAAATTCACATCTGAGCTCCACTTTTCCAGCACCTTCACTCTGGACACTCCACTGTCTGCCTGTTTACATATGTAGTGAAGTGACCATTTTTGCAGGAATTTGCTGCTGGATGCAGTGGTGTTGGGTAAGAGGAGATGGACCTCTTATAAAAACTGTAACATCTAGCAAAAGTTCTAAACACACTTAAAAAATAAAGGAGGCTCCTGGTTCTTAGCTGGGATATAGAGTTCTAGGGAAAGCTTTAAACTGATATAGAAGCTTTACATTGCATGAAGGTTTTATACTAGTTAAATGGGTCGAAATGTAGACCATTAAAGAAATGTAATATCCAGCAAGAATTCTATAAACTCTCAAAATTATAAAGATTTAGAAATTGTTTAGGCTTGGAAGTATGGTTGTAGGAAAACTTAATTGGTGTAGGAGTCCATATCCTGGTCCTGGATCTCTACCACCCTGCAGAGTTAAGCTCCAACACTTATTTAACAAACCTGATCCAGGTACTGAAGGTCTTCAGAGGCATCTGAATATTAGAGCCAGATGTGTCGAATCCGAACTCTTCAGAGTGGTGGATCTCCAGGACCAGGACTGAGCACTACTTGTGTGGAACCTTTACATCTAGCAAAGGTTCTGTACACTCTTAAAGAAATAAAGGTCTCTGAATGGTTCTGTGCCTGGATGTAAGGATGTAGGAAAAGCTTTTAATTGGTATAGAACCTTTACCCTGCATGAAGGTTCTATACTGATGAAATGGGTTTAAGTGTGGACCATTAAAAATAATGTAACATCTAGCAATGGTTCTATACATTATTAAACATAAAGGCTCAGAAATGATTCCTGGTTTGATTCTAGGAAAAGCTTTTTTTTGGTATAGAACCTTTACATTGTGTGAAGGTTCTGTACCAGTTAAATGGGTCTAAGAACAGACTCTTAAAAATAACATCTAGCATCTGGCTCTTGGATTGGACATAGAGTTCTAGGAAAAGGTTTTAATTGATTTAGAACCTTTAAATTGCATGAAAGTTCTTCATAACATCCAGCAAGCGTTCTTAAAAATAAAGTTTCCTAAAGGGTTCTTTGCTTGGATTTGCTTAGATTACATTGCATGAAGGTTCTATATCAGTTAAATGGGTTTAAGTGTAGACTCTGAAAAATAACATAGAATCCAGCAAAGGTTCTTAAAAACAAAGGTTCCTAAATGGTTCTTGCTTGGACAGACAGTTAAAGCCTTTAACTGGTAGAAAACCTTCTGCGAAGGTTCTATACACTTTATTAAAAGTAAATGCTCCTAAATGGTTCTTGGCTGGGATGTACAGTTCTATGAAAATCTTCTGGAACCTTTACATTGCATGAAAGATCTATACCAACTAAACTAGTTTAAGCAGAAATTCTTTAAAATTTGCAATATCTAGCAAAGGTTCTACACACTCTTAAAGAAATAAAGGTTCCTGAATGGTTCTTTGCTTGGATATATGGATGTAGGAAAAGCTTTTAATTGGTATAGAACCTTTACCTTGCATGAAGGTTCTGTACTAATGAAATGAGTCTAAGTGTGGACTAAATGATGAAGGTACAATTCTATGAAAAGCTTTTATTTGGCATAGAATATTTACATTGTCTGGAGGTTCTGTACCAGATAAATGGGTCTAGAACAGACACTTAAAAATAACATGTCATCTAACAAAAGTTCTGTTAAAAGTAAAGGCTCCTGGTTCTTGGCTTGAATGTAGAGTTCTAGGAAAAGCTTTTAATTGATATAGAACCTTTACATTGCATGAAAGTTCTGTATGAGTTAAATCCCTCTAAATGTAGACACTGAAAAATATCATAACTTCTAGCAAATGTTCTGAAAAATAAAGCTTCCTAAATGGTTCTTTGCATGGACAGACAGTTATAAGAGCTTTTACTTGGTGTAGAACATCCTGCAAAGGTTCTATACACTCTTAAAAATAAAGGTTCCTAAATGGTTCTTTGCATGGACAGACAGTTATAAGAGCTTTTACTTGGTATGGAACATCCTGCAAAGGTTCTACACACTCTTAAAAATAAAGGTTCCTAAATGGTTCTTTGCATGGACAGACAGTTATAAGAGCTTTTACTTGGTGTAGAACATCCTGCAAAGGTTCTATACACTCTTAAAAATAAAGGTTCCTAAATGGTTCTTTGCATGGACAGACAGTTATAACAGCTTTTACTTGGTGTAGAACATCCTGCAAAGGTTCTACACACTCTTAAAAATAAAGGTTTCTAAATGGTTCTCTGCTTGGACAGACAGTTATAAACGTTTTTAATTGGTGTAGAACCTCCTGCAACGGATGTCTTGGATGCACAGATCTATGAAAACTTTTTGGAACCTTTATGCTGCATGAAGGTTCTGCACCAATTAAACTGGTCTAAGCATAGACTCTAATAATAATGCAACATCCAGCAAAAGTTCTATAAACTCTTCAGAAATAAAGGTTACTAAATAGTTCTGGGCTTTAACCTGGTTCTTCTGTAAGTTCTCACCAAAGAACCCTTTATTTGTCAGAGTGCAGATGACTGTACGCTGCACAGAGTGGAGAATATCAGTGCTGGTGAAGGGAATGAAGGGGGTGGAGACGCAAAACTGCACAAACTGCAGCTCACGCGCTCTTCTCTGGCGCTTTACTACAAGCACGTGAGCCTAAATGCCCCGGGAGGAGGGACTGAGCGCGTGCTCGAGGGCGTGGAGTGGGGGTGTTGACCCAGAGGAGTTTCAGTACCGTGGACAGCGCCGCCGCTCCGTCATCATCTCCTCGTTCGCGCCAATGGAAAAGCGTCCGCGTGGAGAAAGCAGCTCGCGCTTCTACAGCCATGCGTCCAGGACCTAAGTGAGCGCAGTTTCTCGCGAGGGGACAGTGGATTAAACGCGGAGTTTGGCAGGAAGGATGCCCGAGCGAGGATGTGTACCAGCCGCAAGATCATCTGGAGCCTGCTGGTGCTCTCGGTGCTGGAGATGGGGCTCGGCGTGTCCAGCATCGCGCTCGGCGCGGTGGGCATCAGCAGGGTGCACGCGGGCCACAAGACACAGCAGGGCGACGCGTCCCCGGTGTGGAGCGGGGTGTGTGTACGTTTCACTTTTCATTGTTGTCTTTCTCTATGCGAATGTTACCACCTTCAGCAGTTCCGTTTGACTTAACAGGCTCGTCTGAAAGGAGACTTTGTGGTTTTACTATGATTTTAACAGGTTTGTGCCAGAAAAACAGCGAATCACACGGATCTCTGACAGTCTGTGTGATTAGAGCGCATCGCTGTGCTCAGAAATCTGGACGCGCTGCCTGTTTAAAGCAACAATCTGACTTTGTGCTGCTTTGAACACAAACGTATTGAAGGGGAATTCCACCCATCTTCCAAATTTCCAAAACTGTTCAGCAATTAAGTCCAAATAGTGTCAAAAACACATGGTTCAATGGATTCCTTAATGGGTTCCTTAAAGAACAACGTTTTTCCTAGAAATGTATGTCCAAACCATGCAGTGCCCTTTATTTTTAAAAGGGTACTACAAACATATTGAAGGGAAAATTCCACTGATTTTTCAAAATTTCCAAAATTGTTCAGTAACAAAGTCCAAAAAGCATCGAAAAGGCATGGTTGAGTGGATGATCCTTTGAAGAGCCATTACTGAAAAAACATGTTTTTCCTAGAAACGTATGTCCAAACCATTGAGCACCCTTTAGTTTTAAAGTGGAAATTTCATCGATTTTCCAAAATTTCCGAAATTGTTAAGCAACATAGTGCAAAAAGTGTCGAAAAGGCATGGCTGAGTTGATTCTTCAAAAAACCATTACTGAAAAACCACGTTTTTCCTAGAAATGTGTGTCCAAGCCATGTAGTATGCTTTATTTTTAAAGGCAAACATTCTACCAATTTTCCAAATTTCCAGAACTGTTCAGCAACAAAGTCCAAAAAGTGTAAAAATGCATGATTCAGTGGATGGTTCCTTAAAGAACCATTACTGTAAAACAAAGTTTTTCCTAGAAGTTTATGTCCAAGCTATGTAGAATGCTTTATTTTTAAAGGGAGAAAATTCCATCGATTTTTTCAAAATTCCAAAATTGTTCAGCAATGACATCCAAAAAGTGTCAAAAGGCAAGGTTTATTGGATGGTTCTTTAAAAAACCATTACTTTAAAACCAATTAAAGTTTTTTTTTTTCTAGAAATGTATGCCAAAGCCATGTAGTACACTTTATTTTTCAAGGTAAAAATTCTACCTATTTTCCAAATTTCCAAAATTGTTCAGCAACAAATTTTACAGTAAGTCCAAAAAGTGTCAAAAAGGCATGGTTCAGTGGATGGTTCTATAAAGAACCATTACTGTAAAACCAATTAAAGGTTTTTCCTAGAAATGTATGTCCAAGCCATGAAGTACCCTTCATTTCCAAAGGGAAAAATTCCAATGTTTATATTTTCCAAGATTGTTCAGCAACAAATTGTTCAGCAAGTCCAAAAGTGTCAGAAAGGCATGGTTCAGTTTCTTAAATAACCATTACTGTAAAACCAAGTTTTTCCTGGAAATATGTCTAACCCATGCACAACCCTTTATTTTTAAAGCAGAAAAAAAAAGTTTTTTTCAAAATTTCTGCATAGTTAAATTGCTGAAATGTAAACACAGTCATTAAAAATGGTTGGATTTAAAATGATTAATTGTAGAGAAATCTACTGACTCAGATTTCTCCACAGTGGTCACCATAGGAACCAGGGGTCACACTGTCTACAACAGCAGTTCTCAAACTGAGGGGCTGTGACCCCCAGAGGGGTGCTAAGGGGTGCTGCAGAAAAAACTTGGAAATGGAATCTCTTAGTGTGTTAGATAGTCAGTGTATTAAATTTGCTTCGGCCATATCTAAAGAAGTATTAATCGTTTAAAAATGGTTGATGCTATTAAACACCATTAAAATAAAATGTGCCGACCAAACACAACTTGTGGCCGTACCTCGCCCACTAAACAAGTTATCCATAATGTCATATGACAGGACCATGTGCTGGTCAGAGATAGGTAGCACAAAATACAGGGTTCTGGTACGAAAGTAATGTCCAGGGGGCAGGAGGGTGGGCACAGTGTAACTTAATATCCACAAAGGACCTTAGACTGAAAAAGTTTGAGAACTGCTGATCTACAATACAAATACAGCAGTTTTATTTACTATCCAAAATGACGAGTGAATCTTCATGTCTTCTTGTTAAAGAGTCTTTCCAACTTTTACAGTATCTGGAGGTTCTTTAAAGAACCCTTTTTAGGAACTTCATTTTAAGGGTCTAATGTTAACTGGGTTATACCAGGAGATTTAAAGAGTGTAGTAGGTAACTGTAATTATGTAAAAGGGCTGTCACTATTCATTACATCAGTACTTGAATAATCTTACAACTATTTTGGCAATTAATAGAGTGACCAAAGCTTTAAAAAGGCCCTACATTAAAAGTGGATTTAAATAACCAATAACAAACCATATATTTCCATCAAAACATTCCAAAATGCTTAAATGGGGAAAGATAAACTAAGGGGCCTTTAAAAAGACTTAACAGATATAAGCACTATGAAAAATGCATATGAATGCATTCTTCAGAAGTAGAACTGAATGATTAAAATATGCACTGCTGATCCATCAAGATAATCAACTGTTATTTAAAACCATTTAAACAGTCATTTAAGAGTTTAATCAATTAATCAATTTATTCCACTGATTTTTTAAAATATTTTACATAATTCGATCATTGAGATGTAATCAAAGTCATTCAGAGTGGTCTGATGATGAAATGCTGGATGGTAGAAAAACTTACTAACTCAGATTTCTTTATAGTGGTGTTGACAGGAACCAGAGGACACAATGTGTACACAAATATAACCACTTTGTTTACTATCCAAAACTACCAGTGAACCTACAGGTGCCTTCTGAGTTTTTGTTTGTTGATGATGGTAAAAGTGTTAAATCTGGAAAAAAAAGTTTTCTTTGCAGCCTAGTTTGCTTTACAACACACCGCATGTACCTCTCTTAATGAATTAAAAAAAACATGCTTTAGTCCAAAACATTCTCTCAAAGCTATCATAAAACAATGTTTCAAGCAGTGTATCTATAACCATTTCATATAATAACTTCCTGTGATGGAGCTTTAAGAGGCTTTAAACTCTTTTTTCTAGAATAGAGCATTTCACATCAAACCACTCTGAATGACTTAGTTTACATGGTAATAATTGAATTATGCAGCAAATTAAAAAAATCGATGAAATTCCCCTTTAAGTAAATAGTGTAAAATCTTTTCAGGGACATGTTCAAGTGGAGAGTTAAAAAAAAAAAAAAGATTTTATTGTAAATTAAATTTTAGACTTCAAGTTTAAATTTCAGAAATTAAGTTTTTGACAGTTCTACAGTTATAAATTTGGTTGTAATTTAAGATAAATACTTAAGATGTTTTATTGCAGGTGGCCACTGAACTGTCATATATACTGTATGTGTGACACCTTCATTACTGACACAGTGTGTGATTGACAGGGTTGGGATGTAATAGAATACAAGTGTTAGGAATACGCATTGAGACTATAGTTACTTTTACATTTTTAGGAGAATATTTTTAAAATACTTACTGGATAAATTTGAAAGAAACACTATCAATGCTAGTTTATTAATATTTTAAAATCAGCACACAGCATGTAACGATTGACTCTAAAAGGAACTCAAAAAATGCTTCTGTACAAACATTGAAGTTCCTGCTAAAGACTGAGTAGACTGATAAATCAATGTGGTGATCAGTTATTAATCTCAGTTTTACTGAGCTCTACTAAAGCCTGAGTAGACTGATAAATCAATGTGGTGATCAGTTATTAATATCAGTGTTACTGAGCTCTGCTAAAGCCTGAGTAGACTGATAAATCAATGTGATCAGTTATTAATCTCAGTGTTACTGAGCTCTGCTAAAGCCTGAGTAGACTGATAAATCAATGTGATGATCAGTTATTAATCTCACTGTTACTGAGCTCTGCTAAAGCCTGAGTAGACTGATAAATCAATGTGGTGATCAGTTATTAATCTGTGTTACTGAGCTCTGCTAAAGCCTGAGTAGACTGATAAATCAATGTGACGATCAGTTATTAATCTCAGCGTTACTAAACTTCGTTGAAGGGTGGTGGAACTGCGCTGTGATAAGCTTAGTGTTGGTGTTGTACTGGACTCATACATGCATTTTGTGGCAAGTCAAATAAAGGCCATTAATTGAAAACCAAATAGATACCCACTTTGTCATAACTACCCACAAGTTTGCTTAGTTCTTGAGATGGCAGTGGAATTGTGGGAGCGGTAGTGGACTAAAGTAGGCGATGGGAGCCAAAATAATGTTGACAATTTTTCCAACTGCAAAAAAAGGGAATTTTTCATGAAACTATCAATAGAAGAATCACACAAAGAACAGTGCCAACCAGTAACAGTAAGGAATAGTGTGAAGTAAATTAAAATAAATGGAATCTTTTTCCATTTTTTGGAAGCTTTATTAATATGTGTTCTAAATATCTACTGAATATGTTACTTTTTATGTATTGTAATAGAACATGGTGTATACAGCATTTAGCCGTCATTATTAAGTGGTCTGCCCAGTGTTAATGATTGATAACTGTCTGTCAATAGCTCTGCCAGGTTCTTTTATCATTAAATTGCTGTCAATATCAGCAACAAGAACATTTTCATTTCAGTAATGTGTCTCTGCTGTTGTTTCCTCTCATAGTTCCTCGTCTGTGGACTCTGTGGGATGCTGTGTGCGAAAAAGAGGACTGGCCTGGTTGTGAGTACACACGCTGTTCTAGCTATGCTCTTAAAACACCTGCCTCTGTTTCCGCTTGTCATATGTGTGCCAAAAATATAGGCCACAAGTTTCTAAAACTTGCAGTAGATGCAGCATATCTGAACCTAAGCTATAGCTGATGGCATTGGATGCCGGGGACCTTGGCAGTCTTGTGTAAATCTCTAAATGCATGACTTAAATTCAGAGGAGCATGTGGCCTTTCATAAATTGAGAGTGGGTGATGTTGCAGAAATGAAATATTATGATAACTGAAGGCATTTTCATGCTACACGAATAATATAATGGTGTATAGTTTTTTCTGATGTTTGTGAACCAGTTGGAATGGATAAAATGCACCACAGCAGTGCCACGTTTAAAAAAAAAGTATGAAAGCTATAAGTATAATTATGTTTTTAATTCAGTGACTGCACTATTTAAGAAGGAACATGAGAAATAGATATAAATGAAAATGAAAAAGTGAATAAAATAATATGACATATAGCTAAATGAGACCTGACTACCCATCGGGGGCATGGCTATTGAAAATGTTACAAAATGTTATTCATTTGGTCTCCTAAATAGAATAAACCCAAAAGTTATTGAATCCTCATGCCTTTCTTTCCAGCTTAAGCAAATGAGTGACCTGCAAAGCTCTCCTTTCATATACCCACCAGTTTTCGGCAGCAGCTATCACCATGGCAACACTTACACAGCTGCATGCTGCCATCGTTTGTGTAAAGATAAGGTTTTGTACAAACTCTGCAAACAGGCACAGAAAGATGCTTAAACACAGCATCACACTGTTTGACCGTATCAGACTGAGGGAACTTCACTGTGATTTAGCTTTAGTTTTAGCCTAATGCTTACCCAGCTAAGGGGGGCTAAGTAAGCAGTAAAGTTGACCATAGTAAAGATAACAAAAAGCAGAAAAATGACAACATGGCAATCGTGTTTAAAATTATTAATAAATGTAAATATAAATATACAAATAAAATATGTGTGTATTATCTTGTGATGAAACCTATAAATGAAGTACACTCGTTGGTGGTTGTCAGCTTCACTGAAATGTAGGGGGCAGATTTACCAGTGTTCTGCCCTGTTTTATACCTTGTTTTAGTGTTAAAAAGTTGCTGTTAGGATTTACTAAAAAAGGGCAAAAGGGTCTTTAGTGCCTGTAATAAGATGAAAGGGGTGGAGCTGATTGTTTGCACTTTTGCCTTATTGCATCTCAAAGCTCAGAACACTGTGAGGAGAATATTAGACATGAGGATTTGTTCTGATTTACTGAGGCTGACAGTAAATACTGACTGTGACAGTGCACTGTTTAACACCTGATAACAGCATGTCTTATTTTTGGTGATAACGTGGCTGACACTGTCGTTACTGAGAGGTATTTTTTGTGATCACCTGCCTAGTGAAGTTATTCTTAATTTGATGAAGACAAAACAGTGATTTTAGCTGGTATTTCCTAAAAGTGGGTTGGTAACACTTTATTTTGAGTGGTTCTTTTAGATGAAACACTCAACAGATATTTAGTAACATGTCAGAAACACCTTGCTGTTGTCGGAAGAAAACCTTGTATCTCCATTTCTGTTGTTTTTCAGTTTTTGACATCATTTGAAAATGCCTGTTGTCCTTTACATTGTTCGTAAATTTCATGCTGAATGGACCAAAAGAAACAGCACAGAATGACTTGTGAAAATGTCTGGTTCCATTGACTTACATTAAAAGTAAAGTATGTTTTTTCATTCTCCTGTAAAGTTACCATTTTGGAGCAATATGAGGGTTAGGATTAGGTTTTGGGTTGATGTTAAGTTTAGGGTAAGGATTAGGCCCAGGGTTGGGTTTAGGTTTTGGTAAGGTTGGGTAAGGTTAGGTTTTGCGTAATGGAAGTAACATATTAACAACACATCTACTTAATGTATCAACAGAACGTCTACAAGATATTTACTTCAGTGTATTCAGATGCTTCACTACTGCTACTTCACTGATATGTTGTTGATGTTTTACTGATAATCTGTTAAGAGTTTATTAATCATCCACAAAGCACCACTCCAAAAAAAGTTTTACCTCTTGGTTTATTTTACTCTCATTAAAGAGTTTGAAGAGCAGCTTCTGTCCAAATAATGAATTGACTGTTTTCTTTGCCAAACTATTGTGAAACTCTTTGGCTCTGCAGTCACTGAATTATAATGCTTTAATGGTCAGTTGTGTGGGCTATGAGTTGCAAAAGGTTGAGAACTCCTGGTCTAAGACATACTGCTTCTTAGCTGCCCCCTCAGATTGTGAGCAGGCCCTCTAAAATTAAATTCCGGCTACACCACTGCAACCAATGAGCTGCTTGTTAGGAGAGAGTGGGGCAAAACTTGACATGGGGTATAAAGTAACATGGATATTTTCATGCAGTTAAACATCATCATGTGTTCCCATAGCAACAGCGTCAGTAAATGTTCATAGCAGTTGGGCAGATATTTCTTGAGATTAATCCTCTTGTACTTTTACGCTTTTATGGTAGAACACAGCAAAAAAAATGAGAAGTCTGCTCAACTTAAAATGATACAGTAACTGATTAAATGGCTTTTTTCTTGAGTTCACTCAACTTGAGGACACGAGAGTTCACCCAACTCAAACTTCTTAGTTGAGTCAAAAATACTCTCAGCTACTGTTTCTAGGGCTGCATCTCAGTTAGATAAACAAAACCAGTTTCTCCACTAGCTGGCGCTCCTTCTATTACACAGTCACATCTGGCATATTTTCCTTTTGGGCTTCCGGATATGGACAGCCGTGGCATTGCTGGGATTCAAATCCTCACATCCTCCTGATGTTGGGATGAACTATTAGACAATGCCATGCTTTGCAGTTAAAACAACAAATTAGTTTAAACGTATTGTATTAAACATTTGTAGACACACAATCTGAGTTGCTTCAGGTGTTCCTGAGTGGTGCAGTTGACTAAGCTGTCACCCCAACAGGAGGTTGTGAGTTTGAGCCCCAACGATGCCATAGCCATCCATAAGTGTTTACCCAGGAGGAAAAATGTCTAGCAGGATTGTTTGATGGAAAGAGTTATGGCTAGTGGGGAAGCTGATTACTTCTATTTACCTCACTGAGATGCAGAATTAAAAAATCAAGAGAACTTCTGACTCAACTAAGAAGTTTGAGTTGTGTGAACTCTGGTGTCCTCAAGTTGAGTCAGCTCAAGAAAAGCCATGCAATCAGTTACTATATCATTTTGAGTTGAGCCGACCCCTCATTCATAACAGTGAAAAACAAGACCGTAAAAGTAACGTTTTCTTTATATGTTCTGTTAATTACTGAGTTAAATCATATAATTCACTCATATATTATATAAAATATTTTCTTGGTGAGGTCTGAAGAGCTAACCAGGCCAGAGTATGGCCTCCAAATGATGAGGTTAGTTTAACAGTGTTATAGCTAAGCCACCAAAAGTAATTGGAGAGAGAACTTCAGATTCCTGCACATATATTCAAAACAGATGTTTCGGAAGTCTTTATGCACAGATTAATCACAGTTCTACAACAGATGCTGTGTAAATGTTGATGATATTTATCTTGATGCACATAATTTTATACATTTATATTGAAATGCTTGCATGGTTCAAAAACATAGAATTCTATTAAATGACTTATTTCCCATTAACAGACTTTTTAGTGGCTGTTATAAATAGACCCTCAATCTGTTACAGTTAACCTCACCTATGGAGTAAATTCTAATCTTTTTACTCACTCCACTTTCACTTTGGACTTGAATGGTCTTATTATGGGTCTTTTTTGTGATCAGTGCAGTTCAGTGTTGTAGATGTACTGATCAAGCACACCATGATACAATTTTTCACGATAATGAATAAACATCATTATATTTCCCACCTCATCATAAAAGCAGCTGTGGGAAGACATATACTTCTTAGCTCAGTGAGAAATGAAGACGGGCATCTGTTTGGACAATTCTGCACAGACATTATTCCAGGCTGACTGACCCAAACCCCTCAGCAGGACAACGCTGGTGGATGAAGCACGCAAATCCTCTACTTGAGTGAAAGTACAGAGACCCTTCATGAAATATGAATACTGCTCCAATAAAAAAAGTCCTCCATTTAATTTTTTACTCGAGTTCAAGTACAAGAGTACTTGTGTTTAAATGCGCTTAGAAAAATACTGTGGTTTATGATGGTTATAATATTGCTAGTACGTAAGTATAAAAAGTTACATTTTGTGATGTATTATGGTTACAATATTAGTGTATTTTGTATTATTAGGCTTATTTCTTTAATGTAAGAGTTCATTAATGCTGCCTGACATCCAAACATGTATTTGAAAAAGTTTGTTTAGGAAGATATGAGTGAAGATTTCAGAGCACTCATTTGAAAATTGATCATTCTTTGTGATTTCTAATATGTTCTAACTGATTTTTTAGCCTCTCTGCATGAAAAAGTAAAATCTAATGGAAAACAAACCCATCAAGAGTCACAGATCACCAGTCATCTATTTAATTTCCAGTCAAAACAGCCATTAAATACAAGTTATTCATTTTTCTGAAAAGTGATTAGATACAAGATAATCCATTTGCATAATCAAAGGAAAATAAGTGAAACAACAGAAGTTCAAAAATGATAAAAGGTACATAAAAATGTTATTAATAATAATACATTAGACTCATAGAGCACTTTTCAAGAACCCGAAGTCACTTATAATTGCACTCAAACACAAAACACCAGAAGACAAACAAGAAAATCAAATCCATGGGACTCCTATGGGAAAATGGGACTCCTAACAACCACCTGGAAGACCTGGTAGACACCAAAACTGTCCCTATCAGACAAACAGCACTTAAAAGCTTTCATCTTTGAGAGAGAGGAGAAAATCAAGCTGCTTCAGATCTGAAAACATCCACATCCATCCTTCCACTGTGAGAAGACGACTCAGCGCTATGGGTCTGAAAGGATGTGTAGCTGTCAAGAAGAACCTCACTGAGAAAAGGAA